CTAATTAAATTACATTATTCAAATGTAATAAATTTTATAACCATCACTTAACATGGCTTGGCATTTTAATAGCTCTCTGTCACCTTCAAATTCCTCTTAAAAAGTATAATCAATTTTGCATCCTAGCTGCTGTTGGACTGCTGAAATTCTCCCTGTTTTGATATCATGCAAGAATATATCACTGTAAGGTGTAACCCCTAGACAGGTGGCATTCCTCCATGTTGCAAGCAAAATCAGTGCAACTAGAGAAGGTTTGCAAGAGGTGGATGACATTCCTTCAGCAGCTATTAGATCAAGTAAAAGTATGTAATATTGCCATCAGTGAGTAAAATTCACTGAATTTTGCTAGAAATAAGTTGTGGATGTAATTCAGATTTTACCCGAAAGCCTCGTGCTCATATTATTTCCTTGAGATGAAAGAATGCTGTTTGTCATTCTGCTCTTACCCGGAACTCTCATGCTAACTTTATTCCCTTGAGATGAAAAATGCTTTTTAAAAAATTAGGATTTGAGAAATCTCATTTTCCATCTCCCCAACCACAAGGGGACTGTGGCATAGAATGTGTTCATTTTCTCCTTTTGATGCTCCTTTAAAGAATTCTATTTTCAGTACAGCTAAGATTGGAACTTAATGTGTCCCATCTTTCAGATGCACCAATTACTTACCTAGATAATGTCTCTAAGACTCAGTGAAAATTTAAGTAGTTCTATAAAATGGATCAAGTTGCAAAACCCATTTTGGTGTAGCTTGTTTCTCTAATTGGCTTGAACTTAACTGTGAGGGTGGAGGGAAGGAAGGAGAAGGAGGAGGAGAAGAAGAAAGAAGGTGCTTTCTTTATCTCGCTCAAAAGATAAAACTAATACAGTTTTTATATCATATAAAATTTTTCACTTAAGTTAAAATAAAACATCAGTATAAGATAAATTTAGTGGTTACAGCAAGGCTTAAGGTATAGATAACCTGGATTGATTCCTTCCTCTGCCGTGAGAGCTGAACTGCAAGCAGTACTTCCAGAAGAATGTCCCAACTTAAAAATTTTTTTTTGCACATCCCTCTTAAGTACTTACAATGGCTGAGAGTAATAGAAAACCTAAGCATATTTGGTGACTGATGTGTTTTTAAACACATAAATATTATGTCAATTTTAATAGACATTTTTAATATAAACCTTTTGTAATACCCACTTTTTACAGAGAAAATAACCAAAGCAAATACCAGTTTCAGTAACTCACTGAGCTAAACACATGAACCAAGTGCCTGGATTCGTTCTGAAACGGTGTTTTTTGTAATTAATACTCTACTCTGCAGTGTATTGACACTGGTGATTTATTACAACTCTTGCTTTAAATCTGTAAGCAGATTTATAGACTTCATGGAGAGGTAGAAATGGCACATTACAAATGAGGTTTTTTAGTTCTATACTGAAAAAATGTCTTATTACTATGTGTGTATTAAAATGGCTTCTAGTATAATTTTCTGGTAGCCTTGAGGAAACTAATGGCAGCATATGAGCACCCTAATGCCAAATTCATTTAGAGTAGAAAGAGGTTAGTTGTCTGTGCAGGAAGCAAGGGAAGGTAATTTATTGTTATAGAAATAATACCTCCAAGGACTCGATATCTAGGATTCTAATCCTAACTTTTTTTTTTTCATGCTCGTAATCCCACTTGCAAGTACATATATTCAAAATAAGGGAAATGTTTGAGTGGCATTTAAGCAAGCCATGGACCATAGCGTGGACCTAGCTTATGGCCACTCCGACAATAAAGGATGTTTTTCAGAGGCTAATGCATGTGGTGCAACTCTTCTTGGAACTCCTCGGGTATCCCCCAAATTATAAATTCCAGATGAAAACCTATCCCTCCTATTCTTCTGCTTCTCATCAAAAGGTCTTGACATCTCATCTTTAAAACAGTGACAGAAACATTTGCAAGAAAGGCATGACAATTTGGGAAAATGCTTCTATGGAAGCTGTTTCTTAACATGGTTTTCAGAAGATCTCTTTAGAGTAAATTGTTTTGCTCTGATGGGATTTATGCTGCACAGCGCTGACAATTAAGCGCTTAATGGAGTATCTCCATAGGCTCTGTATTACTGTTGAACAAACCACAGAGATGGAAGAAACACTAACTAAAACACTATGCTGAATACAGGAATAAAAGTGAAGCCTGGAGGACAGTGGATAAGTTTTACGTTATATCTACAAGCATCATGTTCCAGGAAAAGGCATTCAGATAGCAATTCTTGTGTGACAATAACTAGTTCTGAACCAGTTTTGGGGTTTTTTTGGTTTTTGGTTTTCGGTTTTTTTTTTTTTTTTTTTTGTTATCTCAGGATGCGAAATTTGGACAGGTTGTGCTCCATGAATAAATGTGTCATATGAGTGACATACTTTTTAAAAGGGATAGGAAAATATATGGGGAATACAGATGACTGAATAAAGCTAACGAGCTCGTTTTACCATTCTAAAGAGCTGAATCTTTCATAAGAGACCACATCATGGCTGTGTCTGGAATAGGAAGGAGCCTGCTCTAAATTAGCTATTGAAATAGCACCTGGATTTTTGCCGTACAAAGGAAGGAAACTAGTCTGGTGTCCTGGTTTCTAATCTTCTAGCAAGTAGGCATTGTTCTAATAGTGGAAGATCAAAATACTAAAGAAAGGAGAGATAAGACGGCGGAGGGGGGAAACACACAGCACAGTTCAGCACCAAAATTCACATTAAAAAAAAAAGAAAAAAGGTATTTGGATTGTATTTACTCTTGAAACAAATCAGTTGATGTCCAGAAATATGATTCAAGAATTGCAATAGATTACAGTGTCACATGTATCTGACACAGATAACATGGCTAAAAAGTACTGCATACACTGTAAATCTAGGCTAAGAAAACTAATAGGCCTATGCTGGTGGCACAGGGAGTGAAGGAAGTATATATTGTTCATGTTGATTGGAAACATGTAGTCAAGAATTGGGGATTTTTAAGAATCACTTACTGAAACGATTCTGGAGATTTGAAGCTGCATTGAAGTAGGAAGGATGCGCGTAGCCAGAAAAGAAGGTGAACTTATACGAAAATGTAAAAGATGCAGTAAACTGAATTTGCAAGAAACACAAAGTCTGCATCTTGACCAGATTTCTGGGAGACAAGGGGTGAGAAGTTTAAAAGCAGTAATGTCATGAAAGGACTTCAGGCAAGAGTACAAGCTTGAATTTACTGTTGAAGATTATTGAGAAAGAGTATACAGCAAAAACAATGATATAGCAAAATCTGTTTTCCTTCAAAAATGTATGTCAACAAACAATTTGGAAAATACAAGAAAGAAACTTTAGTTTCAGAAACTGTGTTTCTAAAATGCATCAATAGTAGATCTACTTTACGTTTTTTTAAGAATGAGATTTTGTAAATGAAGAGTGAAATACCATTCAGCTTTAAAACCTGTGGAGTACCTTTATCTTATCCCAACAACTAAAGTATGCAGTTGCAGCTCCCCATAGCAGTATCCTTCCCTCAAAAGATTTTTATATATACGCAAACATATTTTTTTTATATATATATATACATGTACATCCTGTCATGACACTCCTCATACATTGTTTAAAGCAATGTCAGATTGCATTCCTACAAAGAAGTGGGATCATGTTTGCTCCCAAAATGGAAATGCAAAGATTTGTCATAATAATTTCTATGGGTTACAAGATACCATACTTTGAGGGTTTTAACAATTGGTTTCTCTCATTTAAATTTAATTTAAATAATTTAAGTCTACTAACTTGTAAATATTTCTTGTGTTTGTTTTCATGTTGTTCAGCATTGCAGCACAATACGGGGGCTATGGAATGTGTGCTTGGGATAATTGATGGTGCTGCCATGAGGTCTGAAATTTCTTCCCATATACCACTGGGTTTTATGCCATTTTGCCTCTGACATTTGTTTTAAATAATGATTCTGACAGCTCTCATTTTTCCTTTGTTAAATCTTAGTGACTGTTATTGGATATTTCTTTTTAGAAGCATAAACATATTACAAAAAATACATAAGCCCGTTGAGGATGAATAAAATATCTCCATAGTAACATTCCAGAGAGTGATGTATGACTGGTTGTAGACAGACTGACAGACTGCAGCCCTAATTCTGCATCAGGATTAGTTAGCATAGTCTCCTGAGCCCAAAAGTGACTTCAGAAGTGAAAAGATCTCTTTTTCTCTCCTCTGTAGTTATTTGGCATCAATGATCGATTTTTTTCCAGATGTGAATAAATATGAAAATTTATTTTATTAGTTTTTATATAATCAGCTGCAAATGCAAGCAAGAACATCGCCTCAAGGCAAATGCATACTCTGTTTTTTCTTGTTTTTTTCACAGAAGAAATCCTACCATAATCATGTATTTTAGGCTTATTTTATAATATGTTTAAATGATATCTTAAATAGTTTGGTTTGAAATAAGTAATTGATATTGATGTCCATACAGTGCAATAAAAGTTTTCATCTGCAGGATAATATTCATGGTAATAAAAAAGATCATGTTATATTTTAAACGCACGGGTTCTTAAAAGTCCATTTAGGACTTTTTTTCTCTCTTGGCATTAGCGTACCCATACGCAGTACTGTATTACGCATAGCCATTTATGTAATCAGGATTGGAGCCATTTCCCAGGTTCACCTGTGTAAACATGAGGGAAATTAAATTCCTTCCGCTTCCTTGCAGTTTGCATTGAAGCTTGTATAACTTACTCACTGTTTATGTATTTTATCATTTGTCTATGTCCAGCTTTCATACACAAACCACAGAAAAACACACGAGCAGTTATGATTTTTAAAGCTAAAAGACACTACATATACTGTATAGCAAATTAGACGGTTTTAAAATCCACCCTTGAATAGGTGCAATTTCTGTTCCTTCCATCTAAACAGTTCTGTATTCCAAGGGAACCTGGTGATAAACAGTAGTTAGTTACAGATATGAGTCATAATTATGTTCTTTCTCTCTCATTTAAGTTGTTCGAGTTCATGAATTTTTTGGCTGAGAATGTCATCTTCTGTTACATGGGACTCGCACTGTTCACGTTTCAAAATCATATCTTCAATCCTCTTTTTATATTTGGTGCATTTGTATCCTTCGCTTTAAAGTCTATATCTATGCATATGTGTGTATATATATTTTTATATATGTATAAAGAACGTATGCTCCATGTGAAAAAAAGTCAACAAGCAAACCAATTGGTTCCTTAAATACTAAAAATCAGCTACTTAAATGATATTAAGTCTTTAAAAAGCAGTTCTGCACTGCTCAAATCTTTCCTTCTTTGTATTTGATATCTCTAGCATACATGGAATTTACATCATCATGTACCTAAGAGACCGGTAAGAAAGAATATGTGTCTTTAATTCTGCCATGGTTTCTCAACAAATTTGTTGCTTACTCGTACAGTGGTATTGACTCTTTTCACGCTGACAATTCACACAATGATTTTTTTTGGCTCGGAGCAGCAGCCCTTTGCTTATCACTTTTTGATAAACTGTAATAGCTTTGAAAGTTGGGATCATACTGTTTACTTGCAGTAACTTTTATGTGGAATTTCCAAATATAAAAAAAAAAAAAAAGAAAAATAGCATTACAGCTCCCTTGGCTACAGCTTGGGTTAGATGGCAGAGAGGACCCCAAGAGCCCATTTGACACCACCACCACCACGAGGCAAGTGCAATACTGTGTCCCGCACTAGGAGCACGGGAACAGTTGAACGCGAGAGCAGCCCTCAGCGCCCCGACGGGGACTGTGCTGCAGAGCACTGCAGCGACCAGGCTCCACCATTTCCTCTCACCAAGAGCCAACAGACTGCAACAGGGTCCCACTGGATAGCTGAGCACGGGGCACATGAAGCAACCGCTTCTAATGCGAGTTCTCCCAAGTCCATAGGAGCTCTAAGCAGCTCTTGGTCCAGCAGGTACAATACATCCAGACATTGCCACTCAAGTATTTCATCTATTCTGCAATCCACAGCACGTCTCAGACTAAGAGTGCCTACTAAGCCCTAAGGGTCACAAGAAAAGGGGAGGGTGGAACCTGCTAAAAGTATGCATAAGGAGCTCTGATTGTCTTTTTTTAAATCTGAAAGAGCCTCATGTTTCTAATTAAAGCAACTTTTGTGATCATTCCACAAAAGACTAATAAAGAAACCGTTTTGAAAAATCTCCAAAGAAAAAGGAAAAAAAAAAAGTGCAGAGTGCTGGATATGGACAACATGAATTGTCAGGAAATAAGAAAGCAATCATGTCCAAAAGCACATTTATTCTTTGCAAATTGCTGCTCAAGGAGATAATGCCATCTCTGCAACTGATGATGGGCATTTTACTGAAGGACTGAAGACGAAGTCACATGTGATACAAATGTGATGAGTAAAAGTAGAGTGATTGAAGTGGGATGTATAATGATGAATATAAAACCAGGATGTCTGGGGAAGACAATCTCTGCCACTGCACAGTTTTATAATGAAATTGGAACCTGAAGGATCTGATATGAAAAATATGAAGGAAGATAATCTCATATTCATTTTAATTACACTTTTAAAATAACTTTGGAGAAATATTGGGTTTAAGTTAACTGTTTCTGTCAGTAGTTCCTCCACCGTTTTCCTCAACATCTTACATTTTAGGCAGCAGTTTTTGTAGCAAGAGCTTGCAACATATATCCACTTTCTTTCCTTTTGAATTTGGGTCGAAAACAAAAGATTCCCAGGAACTTTCAGCACATGATGATGTTTTCAGGTAAGTGCTACTTTGGTATTTTTCCTGTCCACATTTAACAGCTGACAAAGATGGTTATCTAGCACTAGAAAAAGCCACACCTATCACAAAGAAGTCATTATCTTAAAACTCAGGATAGTCTCTTCATAGCTACTGAAGCAAATGGATGTATTCTCATCAACATCACTGTGCTCTGGACCTATTTTCCAAAAATACTTTTTGGAAACCTACCACCCAGGAAGCCAGTCTTTCAACACACTGTCCCCCATCTGTCTATATTTCCATGACAATTTGGGAATACCATGTTTTTACATTGTGTTGTTTTAGAGGCATCTGTAGTATACCTGACAGAATGCTTACGTACCAGCAAATATATATCCAACTTTGAAGGTGTTAGTACTGATACTCAAATCGGACATGGTCTTTGGCAATTCCTTGAACTTCAGGAACAGTTTTACTTTGAAACACGAGACTAGGAGGCTTCAGTTCCACAGACCTTTTCGTATGTATTCCAGCTGAGTATCTGAGTACTTATGTTCCAGATTCAGATTTTATTGCTCTGGTTAACATCGTAGATTTAAAAAAAAAAAAAAATCCAGAAGAGGGAGCCATGTTCTACTCCGATTTGTGCATCATCCCCTGAACCATTAATATCTCAGCTGGATTCTGTATTTTTAGACTTGTACAAACTAGAAATACATCCACTTGACTTTCTGATGCTAGTTAGGAAAAAGTCACTTACAAGCTAAGAATTTGTTCAGTAAAAGACAGAAACACAGATGCCTCAATGCCATTTATGAAATAATTTTCTAAAATTAGAAAGTCAGCACTTTTTTCTTCATTTTCTTACTTTTTACACAAAAACGTATTCTAAATTTTTATAGAAAGAAGTTCTTGACTGACAGCCTTGATGTACACTGATCTCTTTAGCCAAATAACAAGTAAAATACAATGCACCACATTTCAAGCTTCCCCATCAGGAGTACTCCACACCAGGGTGCCTCATTTATTGCCTATATAATTCTACCTCTCTAGAGAGCAACACAGTAGTTCATTTCTATATCCATTCAATCCTTCTGCTAAAAGCTGCCACTGGAAATGTCAGTTAATACCAGCTAGATTGCAGTGAGAGATGATGACATACATCCATTAGGAACTGGCTTTCAGGCCGCCTGCTCACGCACGATTTTTAGCCATGTAAGATGTATATGTAGATCCCTTCACTAAAGCTAGCAGGTGGCCAGCTAGACAACAGCTTGAAAAATAGCTTCATATCTGTTTTTGCTTTTATTTTTCATCCAATAAAGTATAGAATTAAAAATCTTCTAAAATATATCTTATTCTTCAACTTTTCTGTCCTCGTTTTCTCCAGTCAAATTTCATTCTCCACAGAACCAAGAGCCAAAAGTAGCCTGCAGCCAACAACTGAACATCCGAACTCACACATTAGCTTTCCAGAACAATCTGGCAGCTGAGAACTGAAAATAGGAGTATTGAAAACTTCTAAAACATGAAAGTTAAAATACTCAGAAAAGTAATTTTTAACTGTTTTCAAAGAAACACTGTGTTTTGTAGAGGAAAAATTGCTTTACAAAAAAGTAAATGGCATCATCTTCAAATAGAGCAATAAAGACTAACTGCCTCTCACACTGTCAGCAGCTTCACAATTCACAGGACACTTAGGATATGTGGATTTTCTGTGTAATTGTGCTTTTTAGCATGCACTAAGATTTGTGCTCAGTTGCCAATAACATTCTTATTTACCCAAAACTGATAGTACTGCATATAGTGATAAACAGAAAAGACTGACTGCCAGAAGAGAGACATTCCTGATATGAGTAAACACCACATTGAATATGAGTTTGGAGGAAGATGCTTATTGCCTACATAAGGTCAGCAGTAATATTCTGGTATAGCGCCAGATTCTAGTTGATCACAGTGAAAACTGGGCTTCACTCACCACAGCATTACACATTAAGATGTGGAAAACAATGAATTTGGAGTTAGTTTTGTTTTCAGTCCTCTCATTACTGAATGCACCAAACAATTTCTGCTTTCTTTACTGAGTTTTACTGCCATAATCACCATGAATATCAAAGTCTGAAAAAAGCTATTAAGGTCAGGCAAGCATATTGGCAATCAGCATTTGAGTATACCTTCCCCTGCAAAGAATTCTACTGAAGTCATTAAGTTCTACTTTTTAAGGAGTATTAATATATTTGAGAAAAGTCGGAAGAGTTAGGGCTTGCAAGTGAATCATAGAGCACTTTGATTGATTACATGCTTCATCTGCTTATGCCACTCCTCTAACACCACATTACGGAGGGTGGATTCGCTTTTACAACTATGTTTAATCATGATTCCTGGTGATATTCCATTGTAAATCAAAACTAGATTAGTCCCTGTATAATTAAGCCTGAGCTTCTCAAATTAACATCAATAAGCTAAAATGAGCAGGCCTGCAGTCTTTGCTCATGTGAAAAAGAAATATTTTAATTTCTTAAGTTATAAGGGACATACTACTGTGCTGCGTGAAAAATGCCCCGTTTCAGTTCAGACCCGGCTTGATACCTTTAACTGGTAATAAAATTAAAAAGCAAGGAAACTAAATGGATCCAGATGGACTTATTAATGGCAATAACACAATTGCTATTTGGGCATCACTGCCACATGACTAGGAGGGGACTATTTCACAGGTACAGTACTGCACCTTCCACTCTTCTTCCAATATCTCTATTTACTTTTTACCATGCTTTCCTCTTCTCTACAGCATATATAAATCAGCAAGAGAGAGGCTTGTGGGACACGGTGCTACAGGGGTCATTGCCGTTCATATAAGACACTGTAGCAGCAGTGGAGTCTGGAAGGGTAGAACACAAATGCAGAAGAAAAACAAAAAAGAATGCCTGTGTACAGGCAGCTGTTATGCAGGCATTTACATCTGCACACTCATACGTACATGGCAGTGGGAAGTGTCAAAGTGAACTTTTCCAAGAAGACAGATATGAAATCAGCTAAAGAGAAAAGAAAGCAAGGAAGAAAAGAGCAGAGAACTATAGTTGAAATCGAAACACCAGATCTACAAACAGAAAAGTCTCCTTTCCTGGCAGATTCTCTCCGCACCACTCACAAACACTGCTGCCCTCAAAGGCTTTTCAGAGGAGATGGGTTTGGAGTGACATGTGTTTGTGGAGTGTGAGCGAAGGATAGAAAACAGCCCAATAGTACACTCCTTTTCTATTCTGTGGGCCTCTGAACCACCCTTGGGGTGGTTTTCTTTGGATGTCCCAACACATGAAAAAATACCTTTTAAAGATTAATCCCTAATGGCAGGCACAGCTAGCAGACAAATCTGGTAGGAAATCTGTGATAGAGCCCAAAGGATCAAAGCACAAATGTGGAGCTGCTGTCATGGCGGCATGTCCGAACCACAGAATCATTAAGGTTGGAAAAGACCTTTGAGATCATCAAGTCCAACCATCCACCCAACACCACCATGCCCACTGAACCATATCCTGAAGTGCTACATGTACATGTTTTTTGAACACTTCCAGAGATGGCGACTCCACCACCTCCCTGGGCAGCCTGTTCCAATGCTTGACCACTCTCTCAGTAAAGAAATTTTTCCTAATATCCAATCTAAACCTCTTCTGGTGCAACTTGAAGCCATTTCCTCTCATCCTATCACTGGTTACTTGGGAGAAGAGGCCAACACCCACCTCACCACAACCCCTTTCAGGTAGCTGTAGAGAGCGATAAGGTCTCCCCTCAGCCTCCTCTTCTCCAGACTAAACAACCCCAGTTCCTTCAGATGCTCCTCATAAGACTTGTGCTCCAGCCCCCTCACGAGCTCTGTTGAAAGATGAGGGGAGAGAATCTCTGCTAACGGTTCATCAGAGCGTTTTCATTCTACCACACTCTGCAGCTGTAGCTGAGGTACCAATGGTACCACTAGAGCTAATTGTTCCATTGTGCTTTGTTGGTATTTTTCCCTGAGGTGTTACAGAAAACCTAACCTTCCCTATCTTCAGTTTATTTCAGTATCTTACCATCTTCTGAGGTTGTTAAAATTCCCTTCCTTCATTTGTGTTGTTGCCAGGAATGTATTTTGATATATGTAATAGGGTCTCTTGCTTCTCATTGAGTTTTACATTTTAGGTTATATTCACCCGCTTCCCACTGCGTTAGTTGGAAGCAAATGCTTTGTTTGATCATTTATTTTACTTTAGACACATTTTTAGTTGAAACTGAATTATCTCTTCTAGACCATGTTGAGCCTTTTATAAATGAAAAATGTAGCGAAGGCACTCACTATTTCTCTAAACTGAAGAAATAGCCAGTCCAGCGCTCCAGAAGTACAGAGTCTTAATGGCATATTAATTAACATTTTTTTTTAATCTTCCCTCTTACCAAAACAGATGTTCTAGATTTAATATTGCATGTACCAATGTGATGCAGTTGTGGAAAACAGCATTGTTTTCCACTAAAAGGTAGACACCAATAATTTAAGCCCTTAATCTGGGCTAGTAGTCTAGATTACCACTATAACCACCGGAAAAAGACTATTTCAATAGTTATTTGTTCCCTCTTCAGATATATGTTTAAAATGAGCAGATGTTTTTTCCCCATGAGAAAATAGTAAAGCATGCGCATCCTTAGAGATGTCTTTTACATAAAAACAAAGTCAAGGACAAGCCCACTTGTTGACTGCAGTGTTATTTTCATAAATGCAGAGATTTTAAACCTGCTGCCACTGACCATTTTCAGCTAGAGTAACTACAGTCTGGTACTTCCTTGCAGAAATGGCTTTATGTTGTTCTCTGGATAAACTGGCCACCTTCCATACCACATAATTCACATTCTAGCTATGTAATCTTAAAGAGTTTTAGAGTTCTACACCAAAAATAGCTGCTTTTTAGCAATTGATTAAACCATATACCATCATATATATCACATATACCATCAGTGCCTTACAAGAGGTTTAATTATTAGATTTAATCTCTCTATACTTGCAAAGTACTTTTTGGATTCAATGTGTACTGTATACGCGTGAAGGCTTTGCTCTCTATGCTTATTTTGTGGAATTTTTTTTAGAAAACAATAAAGTAAATTTAAATAGATAAATGAAAAGCATTGGAAAATATGGAGTACTATTTGTATTATGCATCCTGAGGGCTGGAGGCACTAGTGGGTTTTTATTCCCCTTTTTTTAAAATGTGTCACTCTGTGCAGACCTATTTAGCTAGCTTATTACTGCCTATGGGTCTTTTTTTAAACTCACTGTTAGCTGTTTTCTCCACATTTTGTAGGTTTTTGTTTACTTGGTCTCAGTAGATGTATAATTTTACAACTATGATAATATTTCAGCAAACCAAGAGCTAAAAATCTACATTTATTCCGCATCCCCTTTTCAGATACTTAAAATAATCGTTTAAAAACTACTTATTATTTTTAAGTCATAATTTTTATGACTGTTCTTAGCCTACTGGATGATTTTAAAGAAATTTTCTAATTTTTAGGCAAGAAACAAGTAGCCTATTTGGGTACAGATTTTAATGCCAACCTTTTTTCTCACTTGCACCTGATTTCATGAGTAGTCCTACTGAAGTCTGTAAAACAACTCAGGCAATAGATTTCAATTTTAACATGTATTAAGTCCAGATTAGTATTTAATTTGCAATTATTCAAGACAAAAAATTAGCGGATGTAAAACAAATGTGTGATTATTATGTGAATATGAGAGTAGTTTCATTGTCCACTTTTGCAAAGTCGCTGACACTTGTATTGAACACCATCCTATCAATTAGCACAATTCAGCATTTTATAAGTATGACTATGGTCTACAAATTTCCTCTGCCCTTAGAATTGGGTTTGGGCTGAAAAGAGTAAAATTCTGTTTCTCCATCACATTAAGTTCATCATTCTTGTCTTTTTTTTTTAGGTTTACGTGGTGCAATAGCATTTGCATTGGCTATTCAAGACACAGAGTCCCAACCCAAGCAAATGATGTTTACAACAGCACTGCTTATTGTGTTTTTCACAGTCTGGGTATTCGGTGGCGGCACAACACCAATGCTCACGTGGCTTCAGATCAGGTTAGTACTCTCTTTACAATATTAACCGTCAAAATAGAATGTAATCACTATGATCAATCACTAAATTCCTAAGCTTTCTATGGCTTACTTGTACGCTTTTTAATAGAGTATTACAAGCACAAAGGAAGTATTTCACTACCTGGTAGAGGCTCCAGGCCACAAGGAACAGGTTCTTCCCAAGCTCGTTATGGGTTTGGACTTAGGTCAGATGTATCCTTATTTCCTAAGAATTTGTCTCACTACTGCTCCCTTTAAACACTGTGAATAAATGTTAGCAGTGTCCTCCTCACTGTTGAAGAGCTATAAAGGCAGATTTTGCCCTCATCTAAAAATGTGCAATCATTACACAAACATGGCATAAATAATTTGTTTCCAATTATAATGCGAATATACTAGAAAATCTACCTGCATTGGTGCATCATTCAGCCATTTAATTATTACTTATTGTTTTATATATGCTCCTTAACTACATTATTTTTTAAATTACTTCATTGTCACTTGTATTCACAGACAACAATGAATGAAAAGGGAGGTTAAACGAGAACAAAGAGGGAAATAGGAAGGTGGAATAAAAAGTATCTAATTTAAATGTAGTATCCTGCTTTTTTGAAACCTCACTTTTAACAAGAGGGTAATGCTATTACTGAGTTCTGGTTAATTCATAATCCATTTAGAGCTCTCTGCCATGGTTCCTAAGATCACCAAAGAAAACCTCAGTATCAAGATAGGCTTGTAAATCACAATTCCTTATAATTCATTCTAATTCATTCTATATATAGTATATGCTTTCCTTGTTTACAAAATGATGTCTGATTAACGAGGCTTCATGTCAGATTGTTGCTCTAAAATACCAGCTGAGGATAACTAAATTGGAGCTTCAACAAAGAGCATAGGTAAAAGCTTGCAGGCAAAATAAGGACTAGCATACAAGCATACTGTATAAACACAAAATGCAGGCATCCATATGCAACGTGGGAGCTTTCTCTTTATGTGATGGTTTGGCTCTTTTTCATACCTCTCATGTGCTATAATGTCAATCAAGTTCATGACAGTTTGGATATACTCCGCCACTCTCAGCCATCTTTCCGAGTTTGTCACTGTTGGTCAGCAACAGAGTTGCTCCCTATTGCAACAGAAACGTGGGTGAGGAGGAATATTCTCATCAGATCTTGTGGACCAAAATCCTTTGGATTACTATAATAGGAGATTAAGGAATAATTTTGAGAATAAGGTAAGGGAAAAAGAAGGGGGGTGATAGCCACATGTCTAAGGACTTGGGTCATCAAGTACTTTACTTTCGCTAACATAAACAATTTAATCGAATACAGTGGCGTTTCTTCTGCTACTTAGTACTACCCAGAGGTGGGAAGGCCTACAAGACCAGAAGTGAGGGGCTGACTCTCATATTAACTACTTATAACGTTCAATGCATCTTTCTTTACCCGCCGGTACCATAGATTTTACCAAAGATACTGAAAGAAGATAGTCATTATTGGTCTCAAATGCTCATCTTTTTGGGGATCTCCTCTGAATCCCAGCAGATCTGCCAGGCAGATTTACGAATCAATTAATATGTTTATGTAACTGGCATATAGATTTTCTCACTATAAAGCTATTAGGTTCACAATTCCCACTTAATTTCTTTACATCAGAACATACAACTTCATAAACTATGAGTGTGTGGTCAAACTGAGACAAAAATTTAAACAGACGTTTGTAATTACAAATGTACCTTGAGGCTCTGATTTCTCTTTTGAGTGAATATATTTAACTGTCTTTATAATTTATTACACCTCAATATGGAATTTTGTCCTTAGCTACCAGCATTTATCATTTCAGTCTTATGTAATTTTGCTAAGTAGTTGTATTTAAAGGTGGTGGTAATTCGTGACAGTTGATACCTGTATGGATTCTAGCAGACTTCAGTTTGCTGAGAGAGTTATGGGGCCGCTCCGAATTACACCACCTTGCTCGGTGTAATACCCCAAGTGTGCTTGCAGCTGTGCCTGAATTGCAATGCCGAGCTGCATCTATCCCCACTTTTTTTTTTTGTAAATAAAATTAGGAGACAGATTATATTTTTCATGCTAGTTTGGAGGGTTCACCTCACAAAGCCGAGGAACTGTATTATGAGTACAAAAATGATATGATTGTCTGTGAAGGAACTCATTGGAATGGGTTGGTATGTCATCAATTACATAAAAAAGAATTTCATACACTTATATGTGTATCACTTATACTACGTAAAAAGAATCATACACTTCTGTATGATTCCGCAGTGCTTTAGGGAACCAGATTTACCACTATTGTTCAAATCCAAAGCAAAGTACTAGATCAGTTAATCTAAACAGCTAGAAATAAACTTTTTCACATTATCAAGATTAAGTACTTACAAGAACTGAAAAGTACATGAATGGCTGCTTTAAAATCACAGTGACTACGCTGGATTTCCCTACGTAACCTACGAGTTGCTGTATAGGTAAACCTCAGGAGACAGAACCATCAAAAATACAGTGATCAAGCAAATAACAGTCCAAAGCTGTGTGCTTTTTTTGCCAATTAATCATTTCATCATAAAATGATTATCCAGAAGGTAATGTATTTAATCGAACAGGAGGTATTCAGAGGATAATAAAGAGGAACCATGTGATTTCTGAGACTATCTGAATGAATTTAATCTTATTCACATACATTTTAATTTGCATCCACTCTAGCTACGTGGAATAGGCTACAGTTCCTATCAGTAGTTCAGGAGATGCAACTCAACTCCTCAGGGTTGCTCAAGTTAGTCTTACTCTAGAGATAAGTACTTTACAGACCAACATCCACATTTTAGCTTTAAAACATATATAAATCTATCTTCTCATTAAGTTGAAGATATATAAAAATAATATAAATTAAAAATAACTAACACTAATATATTTACCATTTGCTCCACTGTAATGCATTACAGTGTTAGTCAAGGTAAAAGACAGTACTGAAGATCTATACAGCCTTCTTGTTGTATATTATTGTCTACATATTATACTATGCTTCAAGGATTTATTGCACTCTCTGTAATTTATATTGTGAAATTCTCATAATGGTGACCAAGACTCTTCATATATCAACAGAGTATAAGGGAATAGAACAATGACAATTTTAAAACAATAATAGTAATAATCTTCTGAAAAAAACAATCTTTGTTTCCATAATAACTAGAATTTCCATAATCTTCCACCTCTCCTCACAGCAATAGCATCAGATCTGTTTTTCTTTTTTTTCAGTTAAAATTCAACTTAATGTAAATATAATCTGTCACACTATTTTTAGCGAAAAGATGAAGATGTGTCCTCAGAGATAACTACCAGCTGATTTATTCCAGGAATGTGTATGGCTTACACAATACTTGCAAATTGTTGCCAAAACATGTAGTAAGATATATTACCAAAACTAGTCATGTGCTACTGAAAAAGGCTCCATTTCCATCTCCCATTTAATGCAGCAATATCACTCAACTTTCTCACAAGGTTGCAGAGGCCAGCCGTGCGGAGAGCTTTTGTAAAAAGAGGTTTAAATGGATCCCAGAAGTTCACCCAAGTTTATTAGGTTCACAGTTCTAGGTCTTTTCATTTAACAAATGAAATATACTGAAACATATGCTCCTACTTAAGCTACAGCTTGAATCTAATAAAGGTTCTTAAAGCCTTGGAAATCTGACCTGCTAACAGCAGAATTTATGTCTCTGTACCTCTATATGTCAAAATACAGGTTTAAAAGAAATCCGTACCGATCATTCTCACTACGTTACTAGCACATTTACCCATACAGACTAGCCTTCAAAACAAGTCTTAAAATTCTTAGCAAAGTCTGAATATTTTTTAACTTTGTTCTAAGAGAACAAGACATACATTTTCAGAAATGTCTGATTTATTTTAGCTGTCTCTTTTTTTAGATACCTGGAACTCTGAGTTTCAGGAAGCATTGAGTGTTCCCTTTACGAAAATCGGCACCTATTTAAATGTTCCCAGTTGTCTGGTGCAGTAACATTTCTGAGAATAGAGGCACATGCACAGCCAGTTACAGTGTTATCAGCTGGCATTCTGCAAGCAGAATTGGTTGCACCACGTTCTTAAAGTGTTATCTTTTGGCTTATCTGAGAGCTGTAACTAGAAAAAAATTGCCTGTAGTCCATGTGAAAGGACTACAATGTACTGCTCTTGGCAGACAACGAATAAACCTACATCAGTGTATGAGAATAGTATCATGATGTATCAACAGCAAAACAAAGATAGCCATTTAAGCATGAGTTCACAGTCAAATTGAACTATTCAATAAATGTGCCTTCAGAAACGTTGAGTATTACCTGCTAATGCTTTTGGATATATGTCTCCCTTCATTCCTCGTACTCTGATTAAAAATAGAGAGCTACATTTTACAGTAAATCTGCAATGAAAGGTTTGGGGATAAAGGATTCTCCTGACAGGCAGAGCAAAAATACAAAGCTGTTAATAAAACATGTCCTGTAAAAGCACTATGCTAGGTATTAGGTCCTGTTCGTTTATCATCACCTCCTGCGTAAATGTTTGTCAAGGGATTTCCAGACTCTTGTGTATCTGTCTGCAGCAGTTCTTCAGCAAATAAGGAGATTTTTATTCCATATTCTAAATAAATACTAAGCAGCATTGAACAGTAACTTTTAACACTGTGCCTATCTAGCCATTGCCTTTGTCATGTATTCTAGAAACTGGGTATGTCTGTGCGTCTGGCTACCCTTGAAAACACGCCATCTCTAGTTCACCTAAAACTTCAGTTCCAAACCTCCAACTTTTTTTAAATAGTCATGCCAGAGGCCTGGCATATCACATGTTTTTGGGATGACCAAGGCTGTCCAAACTCGCATTCTCAGTAGGAGCATCTCCTCATTGCACTCTTCTATGAGAAAGCACCAACCCAAGAACATATCATATAACCCTTTACAATAAAAACGTTTCACAGATAAGGTATTCTTTCAAGAAGAC